GACTCCCTGGGTGAGGGTCTTCTTGGGTGAGGGTCTTCCAGAGCATGAGCTCAGGGTACTTCTGAGCTTCCTCACGGCCCCCCACCCCCACGAGCCTGCACAGCTCACAAGCTATGACGTCCACCCTGCGTCAGTCTCAAAAATCTCTCAGAAACACCTTCCTTTTTGTTTCTTTTTAAGAAATTTATCAAACCATGGCTTAAAAAAACCAAGGAAGTGTTTATTCCCTGGGAAATATGTATGTTTATGTGGTGCTGTAGAATAAACACTGGACTGCTAACAGAAAGGCCACCAACTGTTCCTTGGAAACCGTGTACAGGGTAGCTCTGAGTCATAATCAACTCGATGGCACTTAATAATAAAAACAACATAAGCAGATAAGAAAGGACTCCTGGTGGCACCGAGGGTTAAGCATTGGTCTAACTCAAGCTAGTGGTTCAAATGCAGCAGCCGCTCCACAGAGAAGGATGATGAGGCTCTGTGATCCGCTCAAGATGGCAGCCTTAGAAACCTGATAGGGCAGTTCTACTCGATCCTATAGGGTCTCTGTGACTTGGAATCTACTCACTGGCAGTGGGTTTTGTTTTAATAGATAAGAGGGGCAAAGAAAAAAAAAAAAAAATCAAAGATAAAGTAGTGATTTGGGCCAGCACTCTATCTTGTTTCACTTTGTTAAGGGACTTTGGGAGCTATGGTCTCAGAGGGCGATTCTGGGATCTGGACCACCCCTGCAGAGCTTGGTGTTTCCTTTCGGAGGCACTGTGAAGCCCTCCTGGATTTAAAGTCTTCTTTCTCCTCCATGCCGTTGCCCCCTCCCCAGGCATTTAGGAAGGAACATGCCCACATTCCACTTCTAGGCCTGAGAGCCAACTCCATCATATACACGCTGTTAAATCACACTGGACAAATGATTTAACCTCTCTGGGCTTCAGTTTCCTCGAGGATTGACCTGACAGATGCAAACACGGAGGGCAGAAGAAGCCGGACCTTGGTCAGTGGGGGCTGCGGCACAAGACAAGGAGCTTGGGCACAGACGGTCTGGCCCAAAGGCTGGCTGGGCAGGGCAGGTGGGCAGGGCAGGTGGGCAGCTCCAGGGACTCTCCTCTGCAGCCTGCCAGCCCTCGGGGCTGTCCTGGACTATAGTTTGCTCCTGAGTCCGAAGGGCCCAGATGATGATGATGGACAGGCAAGGAGTCCTTGCCCTGGCTTACAACTAGCCCTCAGCTGGTACCACCCCCTCTCCACACACCCCGCCCCCGCAATGCAAAGGGAGTCACTTCTCCCTGGGATAAACAGCACCCGGGCATCACTTCCTAAAAGTCGGACTGAGTGGCTAGAACGTCCGTTCCCCCATCAGGGGTCATTTAGGACCAGAACTTCAGTTCCCCCATCAAGGGGCAGCTCTCCCACCCCCAAGCCCTGCAGGTGGGTGGGTGCATGTTGTACTTACCTTGCGCATCTTGTCCAGGGGCTGCGACTTGATGATTTTGCGGAAGAGCTGGAAGCCAAGCTCCTCCAGCTGGAAAGTGGCCAGGTAGCAGATCACTGAAGACAGGTGGACAGAGGGAGTGTGGGCTGAGTGGGTCCCTGGTCCCCACGGAAGGACTGCCCAGGTTCAGGTACAGCGCTATCACTGCCCTAAGAAACCCCATAATGTGCGTATGCTGCCTGAGTCCTCTGTGGCCACTGCAGTGAACATGGTGGCTCTATACGATGAGCACTGGACTCTGAACCACAAGGTCCATGGTTCGAGCCCACCAGCTGCTCTGTGAGACAAAGGAGATTCTGCTCCTGCAAAGATTTAAAAAGCCTCGGAACCCCTATCCTGGCTGGCTATGAGTCGGAACTGACTTGATGGCACTTCACAACGATGACAAGAAGCTGAGTAGAAAGTGCTGTAGGAGGGGACGTGGGTGGGTGGAGGCTTGTCTGACCACAGCCTCACAGGAATAGACCTTGAGAAGCCTGAGGAGCTCAGATATCACCCCCCATTTTTGTTTTACAGTTGGCAGCTGCCCAGAATACAATGACAAGTCATGTTCATCTGGGACACAGAACCCGTCCTCCTAGAGGTCAGAGTTCTTGGGTGTCCTCCAGGTCCCCTGGGTGACAGGTTGTAACGTTCTGGATTCTAGTTTATTCATGAAGACACGTGAGGAGGTCAAGGGCACCTGGAAGTCAAATGTAGCCAGGCTTGGTGAGGGTCCTTGGAGCCAGGGGATGTTTCTATATCACCTGGTGTGATGGAGACTGGAAGCTGTAGCCCCTGCCCCCCGACCCTGGTAGGGTAGAGTCCACAGCTAGGAGAACCTTCCTCAATGGAGGCACTGGGTGATGGCTACCACTCACCACCCACCCTGAAGCAGTGGCCCACAGAAACCCAGTGAGGAAGGCATCACATGAAACTCCTCCCCCAGGATTGCAAGGGCTGCCCACAGGTCTTGGAGTTGGAAGTCAGGAACTTGGTCCATAACCCAGACTGTGCCTCTCTCTTAGGGAAGCTCTGTTGGTCTTGAGGCTGGACCCAAAGTGGCCTTGGTCCAGCCTGGGATCTCAGTTGGCATGTCTAGAAGGTAGAGGAACACCCCCAGCCTAGCCACTCAGGGGTAAAGTGAGGTGAGAGCTCTGGAAGCCCCCCAGGAAGCAGAACACTCAGACAGCCAGGAGTTGGTGTTAAAGGGGACAGGTACTGACCTTCAAAGAGACTGTAGTCCACCCACAGGCAGAACTGCCCGTCTCGCACGTAGAAGGCATCCACAACGATTTTCAGTAACTTCCGGTACTCCAGACACCCAGACAGAACCTCCAAGATAAATGCCCGCTTTGGGGGGCTCAGCGTCTGGGAGGGTTACAGGCAGAGGCTAGAAGTGAGCTTGGTGAGAAGGAGCAGGGGACAGTGGTCAGACGGTCAGGAACACAGGAGACCTCAGGCCCTGAGGGTCCCCAGGGAACTGACCCCACCGGTTCCCTTGTACTTGTGCCAGTGAAGTGAGTTCAGAGCCAGAAACAAACATGTCCAAGATGAGACATTACAAACAAAGAACACAAGGTGCCAACTAGCTGGGAGGGGGAGCCCTGAGGAGGTCACGGCTGACAATTCCCACGTATCCTACCCCTTAGGAACGATTCTGGGTATGTGTCCCATCCGTGTGATATGTTACTTATCCAAAGAGGGAACTGAGTTTTAGAAAAGAAGACTGAACATGTTGCCAAAACAACAGGAGAGAGAGTGATGAGGACGCTGTTGGCCTTCCCGGAAAATGACCTGGAAACGGATGTTAGGAACCTTGTGTTTTCCAAGTCCTTTAATCCCATAATTACACTTCTGGGAATCTAAGGGAATCAGCCGGAATGCAGGCATATCCAAGCATAAACAGGTATCAGGGTTATGTGAAAAAACCTACATGTCGAACAGCAGGAGAATTGGTTGGCAGAATAGAATAGAACAAAGGCTTAAGTACTCAGAAGTTAACCAAACTGTTGGTGGTTCAAATCCATCCAGAGGCACTTTAGAAGACAGTTCTAACAGTCTGCTTCCAAAAGGTCCCAGACAGGAAGCCCCTGTGGAGCACTTCTACTCGGTGTACACATGGCCACTATAAACTGGAATTGATTCAATGGCAACTGGTTTGGTTTGGGTCAAATATGGAAGGTAAGTCCATGCTCTGTCGTTGTTGTTGTTAAGAACCGTCGAGTCAGTTCTGACTCATAGCGACCCTGAATAGGGTTTCTGAGGAGTAGCTGGTAAGATCTGAACCACCAACCTTGCAGTCAAACGCTTACCCTAAGTGCCACACCAGGACTCCATGCTCCATAGTGTGGCACTATTAGACAAAGATTCTGGAAAACTTACAATGAGATGGCAAAGTAACTAATACATTGTAACAGTGAGATGTGAAACAGTACTTAAAATGATATAACATAAAAATGTGTATTTTGAGGGAAAAACAAGAAAATCTGTATCACGATCCTTGTAGTTATTATTGGTAAGTGTGCTGGAGTACTGTCAAATCTGACTCAGCAACACTGTATAGGGTTTCCAAGAAGCAACTGGTGAGTTTGAACCTTCAACCTAGCAATTCAAATGACCTTGTGGTACAGTGCATTATCCTACAGCGTCATACACCGGGATTCCTTATTAGAATACTAGCAGCAGTTAAAGCACTGTAACATGGAAATGTATGGGCTATAGTTAGTACACTCTAATGAAAATATATGAGCTATAGTTAGTACACAGTAACATGAAAATGTATGGGCTATAGTAAGTACACTCTAACATGAAAATGTATGGGCTATAGTTAGTACACTGTAACATGAAAATGTTGGCTAATGCCCCATCACTAACACAATATAACATGAAAATATACACCAGGATCCCAGCAGATTTAAAAGACCTATGTGGGGAGGGAAACACACAAATAGCAGTGTGGGAGGCTGGGTAATTAAATTTAAATTTATTGTGGTTAAACAAATCTCTTGTTGTTGTTAGGTACCAACTCACAGCGACCTATGCACAACAGAACAATCAAATAAGATAGATAAAGCATTGGAAACAATTCAAACCCTACAGAAAGAGGTGCAAACGATTAATAATAGAATATCAGAAATGGACAATACACTGAAAGAGCAAAGGAGTAGAATTGAAGAGATAGAAGCCAGAACTAGTGAACTAGAAGATAAATCTCTCAACACTACTAAGTTAGAAGAGAAAAAAAAAAAGGATAAAAAATTCTGAAGAAGGCCTAAGATTGAAAAAAAAAGATAAACATTCAAGACACTCAATGAACTGCAGGAAGGACAGACCCTAAAAGACAATCAGCAAGACATATCATAATCTCCAAAATCAAAGATAA